ACTTAGGGAAAGATAAGAGATGACTCCAAAAACATGGAGTCCACAATGACTTTATTGGCCATTACCTGTAGTGAACGCATTTTTTGTCCAAGTTTACTTTTGCTTGAATATCTATTCAAGGTGGGGATATTTATCATTCATTTGCAACCTTCGAAATATATTACTTTCTACGCAATTGGGCGAGGAAATATTGTAATTGCGAAAAAATTTGATAATGAGATATATATTGTTTTTTGGATGTTATATGACATGTATATCACGAAAAACCATGTCCCTCATTTCCGTCAGTTCTGTCTGTCGGGGTGTCTGTTTGTCCGCTAATCCTTGGCCCATGTATACCTTGAGAAGTACCGCTCGGATTTTGATGAAATTCTTACACGACGTTGCTACTATGCAAGGACGAAAAAGCTTTGTAGTTTTTGAAAATCGGTCCAGTGGCGCCAAAGAAAAGGCAAGAAACGGAAAAATTAAAATCGCTCAAACCTCGTTTTTTGACGTTTAAGAGCGTCCTGATCATTTTCAGAAAAAAATTGTGGAGGGTGGGGTAGGCTATATAAAATTATTTTGGTCTTAGAGTATGAAGAATGTCTATGGACTAATTGTATTCATCATCTTTGACTGACTTGATCCGTTTAATTTCTCTGTTGCACATGTTCGTAACTGATTTTTTTTCTCGGAGGATTTAAATTGCACTAAATTTAATCCTATATGAACTGATATCGGCTTGATACGTTTTTTCCTACATGATACAACCCGTATCATTGATGCGGCGGTAACTATGCCCTTGGTGAGAGTACTGAGTGAATCTACTTGACTCCGTTTTTTGCTCACTTTGACACCTTGAACACATTCACGTTTTCAAAAGAGCGACAAGCTTAAAACGGTTTAAAGCTCAAAATCGATTTTATTTTATGTTCCTCAATTAGGTAGGTACTTATTACTTTAGAAGGTAGTCAAATTTTTTGGATCCGATATTTCAATTATCACTAATGGCTTTTAAAATCGTCATATAGCCAAAACGTTAAATTTGATTCATTATATCGATGCGTGGAAAGCATAGACACACTCTACTTGACCCATTTCTTCATATCCACTTTGACCGAGTATATCTGCTTGAACACGTAGACGTTTTCGAAAAGCGTGAAGCCTGACGTTTTGGAACAGTTGGCGTTGAACGGTTCAACGGGTGTGAGATTTTGTTTTTAGAGACAGGAAAGAGAGGATGTGTCGCGGGACGAGATGATGTACTCATTTCGTCTTTTGTTTTTTCTATATGGAAACCGGTAGTCGTTATGGTATTTTTATCTGTGGGCGAAGATACAGGGGGCGCATGAGAAGTATTTGTTTTACATGACATTTTAAAAATAAAGTAACATTTTATTGCTGACAAATGTCATCATTGTACATTGCAAACACGTGATGTGTATTTAGCAGTAAAAAAGCATTAAACTGAATAAACTTTATAATTTTAAGGGCCCTCTCATGCTACGTAAAGTACCTGATCATAAAAGAACCTTGGACTCAGCCATTTTTTAAACTCTGTTTTGCCGATAGGGTACAGACGGAATAGATTTTGAGGGGATACTATTATATATATTCAAAAATTCTTCATGTTGATTATGTTTAATGTGAAAGAAAAACCATGTCACTCATTTTCGTCGGTCCATCTATAATTTGGAAAGTACCGCTCGGATTTTGACGAAATTTTCACATAAGGTTGCTACTATCCCACGGACGAAAAAGCTTAGCAGTTTTTGAAAGGTGGTCCAGTGGCAGCAACGTGAAAGGCCATAAATGAAAAAAACAGAAATCGCTCATAGCTCGTTTTTGACGTTTCAGAAGTTCCTAATTATTTTCAGAAAATGTTTGCGGGAGTTGAAGATCGGGGGATGAGGTTATTGTAGGGGGTGAGAGAAGCAATACGAGCCCCTTCCCACTTCAGTTGGCCCACTTCAAGATTTGTACCAAAATATGCCTTTATAAACTAAACATGACGAAACTATTTACTTCTAAAACAATTTATTTTCTAAAAAACATTTTAGATACACTCTAGTCGTAAAAAATAAATATTTGAAGTCACTTAGACCTGTAACTAATAAAACATCTGAACAAATAAACAATGTGCGAATAAATGCGCGAAGTTAACAAAGCAACAATTGAAAGATTACCATTGGGTAATATCACCTTTATTTTTTATTACGGTCTTTGGGGCATAGTGTTAACCAAGTTTTGGCAAAAATTTGGTGTAAAACAATCCCATATTTCTTGAAGCTTTTGTCTCAGTTCGGTGATTGTACGAGCAGGATGTTGTCGTAGAACCTTTTTCATCTCGTGCCACAAAGTTTCAATAGGTGACAGATCTGGACTGCTAGAAACCCATTTCAAAAGTGGTACATTATTTTCTTCCATCCATTTTATAGCCTTTTTTGAGGTATGGCACGTTGCACCATCTTGCTGAAACACAAAATCTTGGCCGGATGTCAAACATTCTTCTATCATTGGTAAAAGCGATTCTTCTAACACTGCCAAATATTTGTTTGTATCCACATTTCCATCAATAAAATGAAGTTTTCCTACTCCTTTTGATGACATACTGCCCCAGACCATAATGGATGCTGGAAATTTCACTTTTCTCTTCAGACAGTCAACATGGAATGCTTCATTTTTTTTGCGAATAACTCTACTGCGACTGTCGCCAACACAAACTTCGAATCGGGCCTCATCACTCCATTGTATTGCACACCATTGTTGAGGTGTCCATTGTCTATGTTCTTTAGCCCATATAAGCCGATTTTTCTTTTGCAGTGGAGTTAATAGTGGCTTTTCTTTGGCCTATAAACAAGTTGTGCAACTTTAGGGTTTTTACTTCACTTTTTTTATAAGAAAACTTACCTTGCAAGTGCTAAATCCCAGTTTGTGAGCCTCTCTATGAGTTGTGGACCTCGAAATTCTCCTTTCAAACAGCGTCACTCGACAGAGCACTTCATTGTAAATAATTGGCACGCCTGTTTTTCACGATTATTATTCTTAATGCTCTTCTGTCGGCATTTGTGATATTACTTTTTTTCACATATGGTGGCTTAATATTAACTGAACCAGTTACGTTATATCTTCTAACGATATTTCTCACACTGTACCGCGATAAGTCTAACAAAGTTGCAATTTCTGAGTTTGATTTCAATGTTGTCACTAATAACCTTTCCTCTATCCATTTTGAAAACCTTAACTACCCAAAACTATTTTAAACATATTCTGATAGCTGTAATTAATAAAAACAGTTGTCATTGCTTTTATTTTTCACAGCCACCTATGCGTTATAGACTTATTTTGCATTGAAATGAAAATAGGTTGATATGATGTAATTGCAACATGTGTTATTTTTATGCTGCAAATTTGATTAGGGACTGATAAAGTTGGTGTTTTCTACTATATATTATCAAAGTATTCATTGTTAATATTTTAAACGTGGTAATATGACGCACATCATAGATCTCCTTGTACATTAGCCATTCAAACTTTGAGAAATATTCAAGACGCGTCACGTGATCGGTCGGAACGATCGCAAAGCTTCACGCGTCTGACTGTATCGCCTGCGTTCTCGATCTCGAGTTATAGTATCGTAGCTGGTGCTTATGGCATGATATTTAGGACAGGGGAAAACTAGCATTAGCATTATCAAATGCAGTATGGGTTAACTGTATCGGCCAGTTTGGCTGACTTGATCCATTTAAATGTTGTTATACATGTTTATATATAGCTCAAAGGGACTACCTTGTGCCGAATGTAATCCTTTATGAACTGATCGCAACACTGCAAGGGCTGCACAGAGTCAACCTACTTTTTTAGATTTAGATAGGAAGTCCCAAAACATCCATTATCCTACTCTAAATAGATTTACACAACACAAACTGAGATTTCTTCGCTTATAAAATAGGGAGGTGACTAAAAAGGAAATTATCTAAGTAAATCAGGTGCAGTGATCACAAATCTGATGTCAGTTTTTTGCTGAAATTAAGGGGAGACCCCAGAAGTTGCAATTTTTGCTCCAAATAGCATTTTCCATCCTGTAGGGTTCCTTGATGGTCACACTCATAGGTATACAGTTTCCTAAGTTACTTAAGCGTATTGCTACATCTGGATGTTCCCAAGAGAAACAAAACTGGATACATTTTCAAAAAGTAGGACACTCATATAGGCCACCTTGCTGGTCAATAACTTTTAACAGTTTCATTCATAAAAGGAGCAGATGTTGAGTCAGGTGTTTCTATAAGAAATCAGTTTCTATATTATATCTTATTATATATCTTTGCTCTTTACTTTATATCCGGAAGCACACCACAAATCACAAAAGAAATCCTACAACTGAATCACAATAAAAATCGTAGGTTTTATAGGAAGTTATTACAGCTTCTAAAACCTTTGACAGTATCATTAGTATTAGTTTATTTGAACATATTGAAAATCCAGTAAAAAAATTATTTTACGAGAACAGTGTTCTTTCATATTAATATACATAAATGACTACACCTTGTAAATGAAATACCAAGTACTTTTGATATGAGGAAGAAGTATAAAAACTGATATTTTTTCTATTGGGTTTAAGCCTGGAGTGTGATGAATACAACATCAAAATGAACGGTAAGCAATTAAGAGGCCACAATAATAGCTTTTCAATTCTAAATAAACCCCTGAATGCAATTAACTTGAAATTAGGTACAAAAAGAAGCATATAAGAAAATGGAACCTGCATTCATTAGCAGTGGCAAGACAAAAATAGTGTCACTCACAGGTCGGCAATGCTCAGGGATACTTCAGTGGTGTCAGGGGCACTAGATACTTCTTTGTCCTTTTGGTCACTCATCGTTTTAATATAAAACTATAAAAATATACTTAACACACGTTAAAAACAGCGGAATAAAATCAAGGATCAACGATCAACCGTTACGATACGCATGACATTTGAACAGGATCTTTGTTTTGATTGGCGGTTGCCTGGAAGACAGAACGACCAACATAAAGACAGGAAAAACAAACAAAAAATGCTGATGTTTTCCATGTGATCCCATTACAATTTATTCCTAGCTTCTGCATTTAATTTTTGGTCGAGCCATTTGGAATGCCATGTCGTCAATTTTGCAATTTTCATTTGGATTTTTTTTAAGTATTGTTAAAGGATTCCGGGATATCTTGTGCTGTTTGATTAGAGTATATTTTAACAGTTGTGCGTGGCCACGTTTGCTACGCTAGAACTTAATTTTCTTATAATTGCGCCAATTATTCTGCTGATAATTAATGTGCTTATCCTCAAAGATCAAATCGATATCCATTCGATTGAATTCGGAACCCCATCACTACATCCTGTGACATTGACGTAGATCATAACCTGTGAAAATTCAAAAATAAAATTTTTCCAAATTTGATTGTGACTTCGAAACCGTATTTCTAGTTGTTTACATTTACATTTTTCACTTATCCGTGTTTGTACTCAACATGAGGTTGCTGAAGAGCAGTACCCTGAAGCTTCTTGTAAGGCATGGGATCAGTTATTCTAGATGTGTTTCTGAAGGGTTTTCAAACAAGTATTCTACAATTACAAAACCAGAGCAAGAACTTATCGCCGTCAAAGGGGTTAATTTAAACAAATATATACAGTCCTTAGAGAACGAGTACAATTCACTAACTAAAAACCAAGTCCAAAATCACAGATATGTAGAGCTTCAATCTATCATGAAGGTATTGCAAGAGAGACGGGCTGTTGTAGAAAATATAAATAACTTGAAGGAATTACTGTCATCAGAAGACAAGGAAATGAAGCAACTCGCCGAGGAAGAAAAGAAGAAATTTGAAACCAATCTGAATAAACTTGACAATAACCTGATTGAGTCTCTGATACCACTGGACAAAGAAGACGCATGTGATACTATGGTTCTAGAAGTGCAGGCAGGTGTTGGTGGACAAGAAGCAATGCTTTTTGCTAAAGAATTGTTTGATATGTACAGCAATTTTGCACAATACAAAGGTACCCACAATACTAGGGTAATACTTCAATTTACGGTTCAATAGTTGAATTCTCAGTCTCTCTCTTCTACACAAAATTGAGTATATTTGCTTTCAGGGTGGCAGTTGGACTTGGCAGAGTATCTCACAACAGATGTAGGTGGTCTGCGAAATGCTATAGCAATCATAAATGGCAAACAGTCTTATAGGTACTTCAAACATGAAGCAGGCATTCACAGAGTACAAAGGATTCCAGCCACTGAAAAAGGTGGTAGAGTCCACACAAGTACTGCTTCGGTTATAGCAATGCCTCAACCCTCTGAAGTCGAGGTCAAAATCGATCCTAAGGACCTCAGGATAGAGACAAAAAGATCCTCAGGAGCTGGGGGCCAACATGTCAACAAAACGGAGAGTGCTGTGAGGATAACGCATTTGCCTACAGGAGTTTCAGTTGAATGTCAAGTGGATCGATCACAAATAAAGAATAGGAAAATGGCCATGGCTAGATTATCCGCCATTCTGTATGATAGAGAGCAAGAGGCACTACGAGCACAGATTGAAAGTACAAAGAAGAGTCAAGTTAAAACAAAAAACAGGAATGAGAAGATCAGAACATATAATTATAACCAGAACAGAGTGACTGATCATCGGTATGCTATCAATGTCCACAATTTACAGGCATTTTTGGAGGGTGGGCAAGTATTGGAGGAACTAATCACTGAAATAGATGGACACTATAGGCTAGAAAATTTATTTAGTCTTGTGAATAATGCCAAATAAAGTTTTACAGTGATTGTGGGCAGTGAATCAATTTAAGAACAGCCAGAGTTAATGTTTTTTAGCTTCATGCTATTAAATGTAAACCGTTCGGAGAGCGAAAGTGGCAAATAATAATCAAATTCAAGCGGATAACCAAATGAAAATGGTATTTATTTTACCATTTTGGATTGGTATTTACCGATCCGTCCAAGCAAGTTTGGTTATAAGATCCGTGACGTCATGAATCAGCTGTTATATGTCATAGTTATCACCGCAAAATTGTGGTATTTACCCAACTCGGGAGTAGTTTTAAATCAAATTCAAGCGGATAACCAAATGGAAATGGTATTTACCATTTTGGGTTGGTATTTACCAATCCGTTCAAGCGAGTGTAGTTATCAGTTTGGTTATAAGATCCGTGACGTCACGAATCAGCTGTTATATGTCATAGTTATCACCGCAAAATTATGGTATTTACCCAACTCAAGAGTAGTTTTATATTTCTGGTTATTATTTGAAATGGGACAAGTTATAATTTTGCCGGGTATTGGATATTGTTATTGTACTTCAGCTTCATTTTTTAGAAAAATGATACAGGCTGACTTCAGTTTTACCATAAAGTGGAGCACCTTATTGGTTATACTCATAACGGTTGTTGGGGACACTTTAAATGTAGTTCCTATGCTTAACAAAGTATCCTGTGTAGCCATATACCACAAGAATATTAAAATATGGCCATATAAACTCACTAGACACTAGATGATATCCACCTGTATACGGTTTTGCTAATTTCTTTTTTCATCATTTCTGCTGAATCAATAAATGTTTTCTTTGACATGCGGAAAAATTTAGAGAATTGAAAGTTATCATAGCTACAAAGCCATGGTTCCAACATTAAAAAAAAATCTGAAAAAACATTTCTCCCATGAATATTATGAAAGGTTTCTTATTTAAACTTTCCATATACAGTTGTAGACGAAAAAGCACCGATTATTAAGTGATAATCAAAATAATCCGACATTATATACGCACTTTTCTAAAAAAAACAACTTGCAACAAAACCCCGGTTAAAACCAACGCGTTCAAGCGATTCGTGTAACTGACGTCATCAACGCGTGTGTCATCTTGAACCATATTATAACCGCGGCACATAACCCAGAAATTTTGGTTATTCGCTTGGATTTGATTATATATTTCTGGTTATTTTTTGACATGTGACAAGTTAGAATTTTGGCGGGTATTGGATATTTTTATTGTACTTCAGCTTCATTTTTGATAGAGGCTGACTTCAGTTTTAGCATAAGAGAGCACCTTATTAGTTATAATCATTACTGTTGTTGGGGACACTTTAAATCTAGTTCTTACGCTTAACAAAGTATCCTGTATAGCCATACACCACAAGAATATTAAAATATAGCCATATAAACTCACTGGATGATGTCCACCTGTATACGGTTTTGATAATATATTTTTTCATCATTTCTGCTAAATCAATAAATATTTTCTTTGACATGCGGAAAAGTTTAGAGAATTGAAAGTTATCATAGCTACAAAACCATGGTTCCATCATTAAAAAAATTTTTCTGAAAAAAAACATTTCTCTCATGAATATTATGAAAGGTTTCTTATTTAAACTTTCCATACATCGTTGTAGACAAAAAAGCACCGATTATTAAGTGATAATAAAAATAATCAGAGATTATATACGCACTTTTCTAAAATAAACAACTTGCAACAAAACCGCGGTTAAAACCAACGCGTTCAAGCGATTCGTGTAACTGACGTCATCAACCCGTGTGTCATCTTGAACCATATTATAACCGCGGCACATAACACAGAAATTTTGGTTATTCGCTTGGATTTGATTGATGTTACTGGTCTTGTAAACGTTTGAAATTCTTATCGGACAGTCCGACTCTACCACGCTGACTTTTATCGATATGTTTCCCCATCTCTATTTATAGCTACTGTCAACCTAAAATTTCAAAAACGTCAGTGCCAAGGACAAAAACGCGGGATTTTGTATTTTCAGTTTTTGCTGTTTATGGCAACCTATAATATTTAAATTTTATTTGTTTACCGGTGTAATCAAAAGATAATACGAGTATTTGTTTTATCTATGTTGTTTCATCTTTTGTTAGTGCCTCAAGTCAAAGAAAAATGTCTCGGGTATGCTGTAAAATGTTATCTTGAGACGCATTACCTTTAAACTATTTAATATTTTAGGATATCAGATCATTTTTTGCTCAAATGTCAAAGAAATCAGGAGAAAATGCATCTTCTAAACAGAAAACAGCGAAAACTGCAGTTGTTATAGACTCAGATGATGATGATATAGTAAAATCCACTCCTGACACTAAGATATCGAAGAGCAAGGCAACTGTAACCAGAAAGAAAGTACATGTTATCAGTTCTGATTCTGAAGAAGAAGGAGAAAAGAAAAATGTCTCAAAAAATAAGAAAACAGATGAAGAGCTAAAACCAGTTAGCATAGATGATATTTTTGGTGACAAACCTATAAAGCAGAGTAAAGTAGAATATGTACCCAAACCCAAGAAAGATGATGATACCCCAACAAAGAGCACAGAAAAGCAAAAGAAGAAAAGCAAGAAAAAACCAAAGACAGAGCTTGGTGTCCACAGTGATCCAGATTTTGAGAAAACGCTGTTGGATTTGGATGATGACTTGCTCATGGAAAATGTAGATGTACTTGATAGAACCATTGAGGAAGCTCTGCATGAAAGTCACTTGAAGGACTCTAAAAAGGCAGAAAACAACCAGTCAGATCCCAAAGATAAATCTCCGAAAAGAAAGAAAAAGAACAGCAAGTCTGAAGATAAAAATGTAGTTGATTTAACTGATAGCTCTGAACCAAAACAGTCTAGCTCTAAAGAAAACTCACCTCACAAAAAGGGAGAAAAGAAAAGGAGTGGAGAATCATCAAAGGGTAAGTGCACAAATTGATGAATCAGTGGAGTATTTAAAGATTCTAGCCTGGCGTCTCTGGCTATAGCTTTTTAGTCATAGATTAAAGACACCCCTGCAGATATCCCAAAATTTGCATTTAAATAATTGAGTATGACAAATCCATTTTATGTCTATTTAGAACATTGTTTTTATATTTGACCTTAGTCAGTGGCAAGTGGCCTTTAAAGTCTAGGTCAAATTCGATCATTTTTTTATTTATATTCAAGCAACCGCGCAGGCAGAAGCCTAAATGCAGGGACAGCGCAGCTGCTATGAAGATCCCAAAGACATTTTGTTAATCCGATTTTTGAATTGCCTGAGGTTAGTAGAACTGGGAAAAGTTTGCTCTTGTAGCTTGCTTGGCCAGCGTCCAAAAAGACATGATCTTCCAAGTGTGAGAAGTTGACTTGATATTGGAATGACCTCAAACCTCATTTTAATAGCCAATGTGATCATTGGAAAAAAGCTTTGCCTTTGAAGTATTTTTAATTTTTGAGATGAATTTTAGGACCAACACCAAAAAAGCCGAAATTAGAACATTCTGATTCAGGAATTGATCCAGATCAAGAAGCTTTTGAAAAGAAGAGATATTCGCATATGCTCTATCAAAAGTATCTTCAAAGGGGTGGTCCCAAACATCATGGTCAGAAAGAAATTCCAAAGGTATGGTAATAAATACAGTATTGTGAAAAATAGAAATTTATACACCTATTTTTTTCCAGGGCAAGCCAGGTTGCCTCAAAAATTTAACATTTCTGCGTACTGGGGTGTTGGATTCTTTAGAATCGAATGAATTTGAAGATTTAGTTAAAGAACATGGTGGAAGAGTTGTGCATGCAGTATCAAGTGAGTTAATACCAGCTTACATCTTCTGAACTTGATCTTTTATACATGTTTTTCTTTCAGAGAAAGTTAATTACTTGGTAGTAGGGGAAGATCCTGGACCCTCTAAGTTGAGTAAAGCTGAAGATTATGGCATTGCTCAGATAAATGAAGATGAACTGTTGAACATGATATTGGTGAAGTCCGGCATGAAACCCAAATTTCCCGAACACAAATCCGATGCTTCTGTAGAATCTGGAATTGATGTAGAAGATCAGCCTTTTAAAGGCAAAAAGAGGAAATCATCTACAGATGATGAGACGGATAAAAAGAGGAGTGAGAAGGAAAGGAAGGCTGAAAAATCACCAAGTAAGAACAAAGAAAGCAAATCTGAAAAATCGCATAAAAGCAAAGGAGATAAGGCCAAGATAAACTTTAAAGCATTATCAGAAGAATCTAAACCCAAGGAGGTAAAATTAGAGAAAGATGGGAAGGGTGACAGTACAAGCAAAAAGGATAGTAGCACAGATGCAAAACATCAAAAAATAGATGAGCGTCCAAGAAAATCTGAGAATGAGAAAGTTAAAAAGGAAGATGATCTGGAGAAGGTTGAGGTTGTGCCTGACAAAAAAACTCCCAAACAAGAATCTCTGAGAAAAGAGTCACCTACAGGTACTGTTCAAGAAAGGCGTACTGTTGATTTGTCTTGGACAGAAAAGTACAAACCAACAGATATAACAGGTATTATAGGGCAGCAAGGTGATCAGAGTAACATGAGCAAATTGATGAAATGGCTGAAGAATTGGAATGGAAATCGTACTAAGGATGTCAAGAGGCCGAGTCCATGGGCTAAGAATGATGATGGTGCTTATTTCAAGGCAACTTTGCTCAGTGGGCCCCCAGGTGTTGGTAAGTGAATCAATTGTACCCTAAATTTGGCCTTATGACTTTTCATAATTACCCTGGGATGCAGAGTTGTGTATGCATCTAGTCACTGGTGATGAAAATGGATGTTCTACATAGAATATTAAGTTTAAGGACATGTGCATTATGATTTCAAAAGTTCTTGTGGCATAACAAATTTGCTTAATTTTTGCAACAATTTGCAGAGTCTTTATCCTATTTAAAAGTTTCAAAATTTATTTTCTGGGTTTTTTTTTTTAGAGTCGTAATAACGAGTCGAGTAGCATTCTCTTAGCAATAAAACGTATGTTTAAAACAATAAAAATCAATTTTGGTATCTTGTTTTTTGCAGTTTGAAGATGGAGGATTTTTTTACTTGGCACAACCTTGACACTTTTTCACCAAATATTTTGTACCCTTACAACGATTTTGCTGTATTTTATTTCCCGCGCCATTGTCGAGCAAATGTTTTAATAGCAAAAAAATTCTAAAATGCGATGAGATGTTTTTAGATGTTAAATGAAATGTACGAGCCCCTTCCCACTTCAGTTGGCCCACTTCAAGATTTGTACCAAAATATGCCTTAATAAACTAAACATGACGAAACTATTTACTTCTAAAACAATTTATTTACTCAAAAACATTTTAGATACACTCTAGTCGTAAAAAATACATATTTGATATCACTTAGACCTATAACTAATAGAACATCCGAACAAATAAAGAATGTGCGAATAAATGCGCGAAGTTAACAAAGCAACAATTGAAAGATTACCATTGGGTAACATCACCTTTATTTTTTATTATGGCTGAAATTCTTTGGGGCATAGTGTTAACCAAGTTTTGGCAAAAATTTGGTGTAAAACAATCTCATATTTCGTGAAGCTTTTGTCTCAGTTCGGTGATTGTACGAGCAGGATGTTGCCGTAGAACCTTTTTCATCTCGTGCCACAAAGTTTCAATAGGTGACAGATCTGGACTGCTAGAAACCCATTTCAAAAGTGGTACATTATTTTCTTGCATCCATTTTATAGCCTTTTTTGAGGTATGGCACGCTGCACCATCTTGCTGAAACACAAAATCTTGGCCGGATGTCAAACATTCTTCCATCACTGGTAAAATCGATTCTTCTAAAATTGCCAAATATTTGTTTGTATCCACATTTCCATCAATAAAATGAAGTTTTCCTACTCCTTTTGATGGCATACTGCCCCAAACCATAATGCTGGAAATGTCACTTTTTGAGGTGTCCATTGTCTATGTTCTTTAGCCCATCTAAGCCGATTTTTCTTTTGCAGTGGAGTTAATAGTGGCTTTTCTTTGGCCTATAAACAAGTTGTGCAACTTTAGAGTTTTTACTTCACTTTTTTTTATAAGAAAACTTACCTTGCAATTGCTAAATCCCAGTTTGTGGGCCTCTCTATGAGTTGTGGACCTCGAAATTCTCCTTCCAACAGCGTCACCCGACAGATCACTTAAGTGTAAATAATTGGCACGCCTGTTTTTCACGATTTTTCTTCTTAATGCTCGGCATTTGTGATATTACTTTTTTTCACATATCGTGAACCAGTTACGTTATATCTTCTAACAATATTTCTCACACTGTACCACGATAAGTCTAACAAAGTTGCAATTTCTGACTTTGATTTCCCAGAATTAAAAAATTTAATTATCAGTAACCGAATTTTCTCACTAATAACCTTTCCTCTACCCATTTTGAAAACCTTAACTACCCGAAACTATTTTAAACGTATTCTGACTGCTGCGATTAATAAAAACAATTGTCATGGCTTTTATTTTTCACAGCCACCTATGCGTTATAGACTTATTTTGCATTGAAATGAAAATAGGTTGATATGCTGTAATTGCAACATGTGTTATTTTTATGCTGCAAATTTGATTAGGGAGTGATAAAGTTGGTGTTTTCTACTATATATTCTCAAAATATTCATTGATAATATTTTAAACCTATAACACCCTGATACATTTTTATTGTTTGTGTTTGATAAGCAAAAAACTAAGATTTCAATAGTTGGGCCAACTGAAGTGGGAAGCGGCTCGTACATCATGGAAAATAATACCTTGAAAAGTGTCAAGAACAAAACAGCTTTGTAGTTTTTGAAAATCAGCCTAGTGGCGGCTGAGCTATATGGTCAAAAGACGAAAAAGTAAAAATTACTCAAACTTTGACGCTCTCAATATATCTCAATTTTTAGATTTTCCCATACCTTAGGAATTATTGATGGAAATATCGTTAGTTACCATTCCAGTTTATCCTATTGGATAGAGTTTTGTTCTGTTGAAGCTAGGAAGAACCAAAATGGAATTTCTGCACGACAACACGGACTATAAAAGAATTTTCCAATACTCTTGCGTATCTATGATGAATAGCTACAAAATATGCTTTCAGGCAAGACTACAACAGCCACATTGGTTTGCACGGCTTTAGGCTACGATATCGTCGAATTCAATGCTTCTGATACAAGAAGTAAAAAACTGTTGCATGAAGAAGTATCCCAACTTTTGCAAAATACTTCGATCTCGTCATTTGCAGCAGGTAACATTTCTAATGAAATTGCAAATAGGCCGTTCACTGTACAAATAAAATTTTCAGGAAAAAACACGACAAACAAAAAACGTGTCTTGCTAATGGATGAAGTCGATGGTATGGCGGGAAATGAAGATAGAGGCGGTATTCAAGAACTCATGAATCTGATCAAGACTAGCAATTTTCCAATAATATGCATGTGTAACGATAGGAATCATGCCAAATTACGATCGTTTGTGAACTACTGTTATGAATTGAAGTTTAGCAAACCAAAAGCTGAACAAATCGCGGTAAGATTGAAGAATTATTTTATTGATGAATTCAAGATTTCAGGAATCCTAACATTGATTATCGAATTCTCCAAAGATATTTCCAACCATTCACTTGAAATTTCCATCGCCATAGCCATGTTGCAAGGTAGTATTGCAGTAGTTCTTGAAGGAGTATTAAAAACAGATAACATTTTACTCCAAAAAAAAAGTTTATTCTTAAACGTGGCATCTATCTTCCAAGGATAGATCACTTCTCAATCTTCCTCGTAATTATTTCTTAGGTTTCATATTTTTAGAAAGAGGCAATTCTACGCAAACAAAGATCACGCGGTTAGTAAGAAAATGCGGACATATACTAAGTGACATATAAATCCGAACACCCAGTTTAAATGGTTTTATTTTAATAAAATTTTGTATAAGTACTTAATGAAGCATAATAAGTAAATGATAAAAATTTCAAAATGATTGCACTGCTTTAAAGCCCTTTGACCTTTAATAATGTGTGGATGCACCCTGATGTGCTACGCATTCTCCAACGCGCCTAGGCATGCTTCTGATCAGGTGGTCAATGTCCTCCTGTGGTATCTCATTCCAGGCAACCATCAACTCCTCTCGAAGTGCTTCTAGAGTCTGAGGAGGACGTTGCAAATTGAGCAATCTCCTACCCATCATATCCCACACCAAACATCAATTGGGGATAAGTCGGGAGATCTTGGTGGCCATGGTAACAATGTGACATCATTATGTTGAAAGAAGTCTATTGTGACTCTTGCAACATGTGGTCGGGCATTATCTTGTTGGAAAGTTGGATCTGCCAGGGTGTCAAGATAGGGTAAAAGATGGGGTTCTAGAACTTCGTGGATATAACGCTGCGCGTTCATGTTACCTCTGATGAAGATTAAAGGTGACCTGGAACCATAAGCTAAAGCACCCCAAATCATAACTCCAACAGTGTGATGAACATGTCTTTCAACAAAAAACTGTGGATTACTCCTTTCACCACGTCGCCGTCTAACCCTGGCACGACCATCGTGCATGCCTAAACAAAATCGAGACTGGTCACTAAAGACAATACTGTTCCATTCCTAATCCCAGAGTGACCGTTGTCTGCACCACTCAAGGCGATTACGTCGGTGTTCTCGAGTTAAAGGGAGGACCCAGTGTGGCCGGTATGAAAACAAGTCAAAATTTCTCATTCGTCGGTAAACACTTCGCATGCCAATAGATCTTCCGTGTTCTGCAAACCATTCATTTGCAATGGACCTGGTAGTGGAGAAACGGTCCCTTAAGGCCAATAATCTTAGGCGGCGATCTTCACGGTCTGTTGTTCTACGGCGGCGTCCAGTACCCTTGCTCTTTGCGTACGGCGAAGCCATGCCTGACAACACCTAACCACAGTGTCTACACTTCTTTGCACTCTAACTTCAATTGCCCGAAAAAAAAGTCCAGCTTCCCGAAGTCCCACTATACCGCCCCTATCAAACTTACTAAGTTGACGAAATTGTACAGGTCTCCGTACTCTAGGCATCGTAACCGATCGTAAAGGATGTCAAGAACCAAAATCCGCCAACGTTGATTCTTTACTGCGGCTGAAATATTCATTTTTAGAGCGTTAGTGAATTTAAAAAAAGCAGTATAAAAACCGGAATGTCCAACTGATAAGGCTGAACATTTTTTCACTTGTTATTTACAGTAAGATAAATACATTAACCAACTTTTATTAAAATAAAACCATTTAAACTGGGTGTTCGGATTTATATGTCACTTAGTATATTTCCGCAATATTTCAACAAAATTACCAATGTTTATTATTGCTTTGTTTTCAGGGTGCCATGATGTCAATTTGTTTCAAGGAAGGTATAAAAATGTCCCGAAACGCACTCATAGAAATAATAATAGGTACAGGCTGTGATATTCGACAAACTTTGAACCATTTGGCTATGTGGTCCGTAGCAGACAAGAATGTTTCTATGGAGACTGCACAGAAAGAAGCACAGGGTTCAAAGAAAGATACAGTATTAGGTAAAAAATATCTCCGAATAATTGAGATGCATACTTATAATTTCTAGAGTTGAGTTATACATTTCCAGGTATCATTATTTAATGGTGATATTATTGATTGTTATGATTTGTAGGTCCCTGGGAGGTTATAAGAAAGGTGTTCACCAAAAAAGAACAAGAGTCGATGAGTTTGGCAGATAAGTCGAGATTGTTTTTCTTTGATTACAGCATAGGGCCTCTTTTTGTTCAAGAAAATTATCTTAGCGTAGAACCCGAATGTAAAGAGTAAGTAAGGTATATTTTATCTGAAGTCACTTGAAACACTGTGAAATACCGGGTGCGTTTTATATATCTATATTTAACACGCTCTGTTGCTGCAAAAATCGCCAAATTTTGCAGCAAATATCCCCCGTATAAGATCAAAGGCAGTTTCACCGGTCCACGTGGAGTAAAGCACGCCTATGCGTGGACATAGCCAATGAGAAAGCGTGTATTTCAGAGCTCCGAACAAGTGCAGGTGGCTACTAAAAATTGAAACAGTTTAGCCAGTGCCGTGTAGCGGTGAATAAATGTGTTTTCTTTAGTCTGTCCGTGTTTTTTGATAGATTTTATTAGTTTGTGTGTTTTTGACTTTTGAATACTCCGTTTACTTGTTGATTTAATTGTTGTGTTGATTGTTCTTGTGTGTCCTAAATATGGCTCTTTGGAGACCTTGGGAAAATGCTCCAAGCCACGAGGAGATGGTTGATGAACCTGTGCAGGCAGAATTCTTTCATAAAGATTTAGAGGAACAGACCCAAAGAGTAATCCTAAATATGTATGATTGTCTGAAAAACGAAAATCCAGATTCCTCGCAAAATCAAATTTTAAACAGAATTTGTATCCTGACAAAAATCAGTCGGTCAGCAAAATGGCCATGAACTATTACGTCTACCTCCCTATTACTGCATTTTTAACCCGATTGAGTTGGTCTGGGCTGCTTTAAAAAAAAAGTAAGAAAACATAATCAGACCCCTCAATTAAGTGAATCGCTATTGGCCATAATAAGAGATGCAGTATCTCATATTGCTGCCACAGACCTATGGAAGCAGTGTTCTAGGCATATTATTGAAAAAGAAAATGAATATTGTGTTTTGCCTCCTGTAAATCCCGTTGTAATTCCTCTACAAGATGACTCTAGCGACAGCTCCGAAGGCGAGGATGATATATAAATACCTATAATGTAAGTCTTTATATACCTTTTTATATACCTACCTGCTATGTAAATATTTGCCTATGTCAAACGTTGGAATTCTGTAATTTTTCCATTTCTTAACTTTCAGTCAACACAAATTAAACTCCCAATATAAGTATTTTTTATCCCAAATCAAAAAAATAAGAAGATACTAAAATCCATTTATTGTGATATAAAAACATTATTATTATCGTTCTAAATAAATAACCGCACGCCTATGATACGTCATGAAATTACAAAGGACGCGCCGACCAAAGGTTTTTATGCTATTTCAAGTGACTTCAGATAAACCATACCATCATATTGTTGACATAGTGTGTAGTATACAATATAATTCAATTGCGTTTTTGGTCGTCGCTATCAATGTGTACGAGAGATAGGGAGAGAGATATGCAACACGTATGTTAGAGAGAGAGTGCGCCCCATAAGCATGCGATAGCGGAGGGCGACAGTAATTTGCAGCGTTGCCAAACGTTTCACCATTTTTTCAAATTAAGATACATGGTGGAAATAAGCTTTAGTTTGTTTTATGCGTCCAAATAATAGTTTTATTTTGAGTATGCACGTTTCTCATTCGCGAATAGTGCCGAATCGGTTTGGAATCGATTCCAGATCAGTCTTAACGGTTCGCCTATTTTAGGTTGAAGTGACAGTTCATGATCATCACAAAATTTGCAACAATGCGTAATTGGCTTGACAACATCGCTACTAGTGTTTTTATCAACAAGTAATCGGTTAAAAAATAACATATCGCTTTTTTACATACATGTAGGTTTTTTGACATTATACAGTCCGTTAGGTGTGTACCATAAATTTAACAGACGATCTTCATATAAATATAGGTCCGCAACTGCTTCGTTCTCAAGATACAGGGTGTTAAAATGAAAAAAAATGTTTTTCGTAAATATCTTAAATATCCTTTACCTAATTTTGTTGTAATTTGGCGGTGGTATTTACAACATTAAGGAGCTAATTTAGCGCTAACTTGATTAAATTTATTAAGTCCAGTGGCGTCTCGTGCGGGATCTGGACGAATATTTGTGTCAAAAAATGTACACCACTCTCGAATTGTTTTCGTGTCTTGCTTAGTTTTCGAGGAAAAGAAAAATCCACTTAATTGTATATCCCTGGACCACACAAGGAATATGGGGAGGCTTTTCTTTTGAAAATTATTTTTTTGTATCCTGTTTCAGTTTTTTTTTGTGGTTAATTGGCAGAATAGCATTATGCTAAACTTCGCGCCCTAAAAAGACGTTTTACGAGGGTGGTCCCAGAAGTACCCGGCCTGAGCTAGAGATGGCGATAGTTGTTTGAAAAATATCATTGTGTTAGAAAGTATGAAACCTATAAAGCATATGTGTCAAGTTTGAAGACGCGACGTTGTTTAGTATTTGTTTGGCATCAATACTGAACGTTTTCAGTGAATTTGTGAAAATGGAGAAAATTGGTCATCGTTATGTGGTACAATACTTTTATTTCAAAGGCCTCAGCCCGACCAATATAAAAGCTGAACTGGATTCTGCTCTGGGTGAGTCTGCTCATTCGTTTACAACAGTAAATTATTGGGTAGCAGTGTTTAAACGAGGCCGTATGACGACTCTAGAAATGGTGACGAAAATTCACAAAGCGGTACTGAATGATCGTCGACTGAAAGTGCGCGACCTAGCAGACCTAGTAGGCATTTCAAAAAGTGCGGTTCATGGCATATTATCTGAAAATTTGGACATGAGAAAGCTGTGTGCAAGATGGGTGCCGCGATTGCTCACAATCGAGCAAAAACAGTGTCGTGAAGATGTTTCAATTGAGTGTTTAGCGAAGTTTCACAGCAACAAAGCAGAATTTTTGCGTCGTTTCATAACCATGGATGAAACATGGGTCCATCACTTCACACCAGAGACAAAAGCACAATCAAAACAATGGACTCAAAAGGGACAACCGGCTCCAAAGAAGGCGAAGACCGTTTCATCTGCAGTCAAGGTTATGACATCGGTTTTTTTGGATGCGTATGGGATAATTTTCGTTAACTATCTTGAAAAAGGTAAAACTATCAACGGCGAGTATTATGCGAACTTATTGCAACGTTTGAGCGATGAAAGCAAGCAAAAACGGCCGCATTTGGTTAAGACGAAAGTGTTGTTTCATCAAGAAAATGCACCAGCTCACATATCCGTTATTGCAATTGCCAAAATTAACGAATTAAAGTTTGAATTGCTACCTCATGCACCCTATTCACCACATTTAGCCCCCTCGGATTATTTTCTGTTTCCAAACTTGAAAAAATGGCTCAGTGGTCAAAGATTTTCCAACGATGAAGAAGTGATGTCGGCAGTTAATGGCTATTTTGAGGAGCAAGACAGTTCTTATTATAAAAAGGGTATCGAACTTACTGAACATCGCTGGGAAAAGCGTATAGAGCTCGGAAGAGATTATGTTGAAAAATAAATACATTTTTTTTACAAAAATTTTGTGTTTTCTCCGTTGGGTCGGGTACTTCTGGGAGCACCCTCGTATTATATCACTGGTTGATCACTGAAGAAAGTAGTACTGTGTGCATTTTTTATAGGAATATTTTTTCCAATGGTGTCCCCGCTTCCACCTTATCTAATTATTAATTCTCTTTTCAGTAATGAAAAATGTAAAAGGGCGGCTCAAGCCGCGGATGCTATAAGCATAGGCGATCTGATTGACTCGAAAATCAGAGGTACCAACAACTGGTCATTGCTGGAATCCCAAGCTATTTTTTCGTCCGTCTTACCTGGACACTACATGGCCGGCCATTTCACAGACAGGATAAACTTTCCCGGCTGGTTGGGTAAAAATTCGTCCGCTAACAAGCATAAGAGGATATTGAGCGAACTGTATATGCATACTAGGATGAGGTAAGACACTTTACCTTAAGCTGGTACTTGCGATGGAGGAAAGAAGATTTAATTTTTGAGCAAACGGTTATTTTGGACGTTTTGTGTCATATTTTTATTTTATTTTTTGTATCTTTTTTGCGTTCTCGATCATTTCTGGTCGACAGTGTACTTGTCCTAGAAAAATGATGAATGTGCTACTTTATAAGATAATTCAACTTTAACAATTTTTCATCTCTCAATCCTTAGGGTTAAGGAGGTTGTGCCCTTTGAGACATTTGTTTAGGACGGCGAGATATGCAACATATCAGAAATTCAATCAATTTAGCGGAAGTTAGTTTTTCATAAGGAAATTGCGTGGTTCTTTGTAAAAGTACCTGAAAGTTTTTTTATGGTATCACAGCCGACGTCAACTACGAGCCGTGATGAAAGAAAGGCAACACCGCGCTCGGACGGCATGGTAGTGCTACCTGTGAACGTCGGCCGCCAGCGGCTGTGTGCTCCGTCTCCCTGTAATTTAATTTTGGAAAAGAGGACAGTTGGATTCGATACTAATCGTCTGAATATGAAATAGCTCTAAAAAATTCAAAAATACGAAATAATCGTGATATATATGAGTCGCTAACGCAGTTAACCTAATTAAAAGTATTTAGTTTACGTTTTTTAGTGTCAGCACACTGTGGTCCAACAGGCCCAGCTTGGAAATGTGGAGTTATCTGTTTGTTTTTAATACATTTACTTTCAGTTTTACTGTTATTTTTCAATTTTACATAATCATTCAAAATTATGTTTGAAAAAATAGACAAAAGCTTAGATAAAATATCTGCATAATTGCGGCCACAGATGCAAGTTAAAGAAAATTCACTGTATATAAAGTCAGACTGAATGCTGAGCAAGGTTAACTGACACAAAATAAATTTTTGATTATTGCTTTTCAAGAAGAAAATTTCCAATCTATCTACATTAATTTTTTTTTTTTTTTTTTTTTTTTTTTTATATCGAAACAGCCGCGCAGGCAGAAGCCTAAATGCCGGAACACCGCGGCTGCTATGATGATCCCAAAGAAATTTTGTTAATACGATTTTTGAACTGCCTAAGGTTAGCAGAACTGGGAAAAGCTTCCTCCCGTAGTTTGTTCCACAATCTAGACACCCTCGGGACAAAGGAGCGGTCGTATCGGCCAGTTCTGGATGTACGAAGTTTGACACGGTTAGGATGGGACGCCGAAGTCAGGCGGGTCTGTCTGGCAGGCACATCGCGCGGCGGCATCATGGAAGAGAGCTCTGAGGAGCAAAGCCCGTTGGTGTAGCGATAGAAAAGAGCTAGATCGCCGACGGCCCGCCGGTGCGAAAGAGTCCCGAGGCTGTCTGTTAGAGAAGAGTCATCGATCAGTCGGACCGCCCTCCTCTGGACAGCATCGAGCATGGACAATGTAGTCGGGGCGGCAGCACCCCAAATGTGTGAGCAATACTCGAGGCTAGGCCTTATCTGGGCCTTGTATAGAGTGAGAAGGTCATGCGGAGAAAAGTACTTCTTAGCCCTAAACAAATAGCCTAGCTTTTTCCCAGCAGCTGCAGCTATTGAAGAGATGTGTTCGTGCCAGATCAGGTCCTCGGTGATCTGGACTCCGACCAGCCGAAATGAATGGCTCTTTGGTAGAACTCGACCGTCCATCGAAACTGTATGAGCGCTAGGACGCTTTTTGTTCGTCAAAGTACAGTACTGTGTTTTGGAAGCATTGAACTGTACAAGATTGTTGCGTCCCCAAGCAGTGATAGCCTCCAGGTCTCTTGTCAGAGAAGAAGTCGTCGCTAGTCTTCTTTTTTCCAGCTCAGCGGCAGAGATCGGCTTGTCACTCTGAATTCCTGCATGTAGAGTGCTGTCATCAGCGAAGCTGTGGATTGGGTTGATCGTGCAGGAAAGGAGGTCGTTGATATGTAAGAGAAACAGTGTTGGAGCCAAGACCGATCCCTGGGGAACACCCGCGTTGACGTTGTGGGATGAAGAGGAGAATCCGTCAATTACGACGGATATCTTGCGGCCAGAGATAAAGTCAGCCACCCATCTGCAAAGCTTTTCTGGGAGGCCGTAGGATGGAAGTTTGCTCAAGAGGGCAGCGTGCCACAGCTGATCGAACGCTTTCGTGATGTCAAGAGCAACGACATGAGCCTCACCATGAGACTGGATGAGTTCACTCCACAGTTGCGTGACGTAAGCTAGGAGGTCCCCTGTGGATCGTTGGTGCCGGAAACCGTACTGCCTGTCGCTAATCAAGCTGTGATGTTCGAGGTAGTCCAGAAGCTCGCGATTTATGCACCTCTCCATCACTTTACTGATAACAGAAAGCAGAGCTATAGGCCTGTAGTTGTAAGGGTCGGTTTTAGATCCTTTTTTTGGGATGGGCTGTACATGAGCAAATTTCCAGTTTTCTGGGAAGGTGCCGGATTCATAAGATATCTGGAAGAGACGCGAAAGAACTGGAGCAAGCTCAGCTGCACATCTCTTCAGTACAATGGCAGGAATCAAGTCCGGACCAGAAGCTTTGTTGATGTCGAGCGACAAGAGCACTCGTCTTACGGTCTTATGCCTGAATGTTACCTCCCGCATAGTGTGGGGAACCCTTTGAATTGACGGCACTTGGGCGTTGGTGGGGACGTCCATGGTGGAGTTGGCAGCAAAGATCTTGGCTAGCACTTCCGCCTTGGCCTTTGGGTCGAATACAATAGTTCCATCCTGACACGTAAGTGGTGGAAGGCTACTGTGTGAGAAGTTCTTTTCAATCTGCTTGGCCAGCGTCCAGAAAGACCGACTGCCATTGCGCTGCGACATTACCCTGTGCCTAACTTTTATATCATGCTGGGTTTTGGCATTGCGAACCGCTTCGTTATATTTGTTTCTGGACTCGACGTCGGCTTGTCTGTTCTCTACAGTGGGGTTTTGTAAGTAGGTTCTGTGGGCCTTGATCTTCTGCTGGCGAGCAGTGTCACACGATTTGTTGAACCAGCCGTTGGACCCTGGTTTAGGAACTTTCACTGTGTGAGGGATGTATTCCTCCATTCCGACGTGGATAATTTCGGTTATTGAAGAACAGACAGTCGACGTATCCGCGTCAGTGAAACAGACATCTCTCCAAGGAAAGCTAGAGAAGAAGTCTCTGAGCCCCTCCCAGTCGGCATGTCCGTAATGCCAAGTTTTGCGGCCTGTGCGAGTTTCTGCGGCCACAGCGGCTTCTGACCGAAACCTAACCTCCACAACACCGTGATCTGAGTTACCCAGGGGGGACAGGACGGCAGTGCTGTAAGGGGCAGGATGCGTGGTCAGAAAGAGATCCAGCAGGCTACTGGCGTGTGACGAGACGCGGGGGAAAAAAGTAGGGCTCGTCACCAGCTGGGTCAGCCCTTGAGTAAGAGCGAACGCTTCGACTGCACGACCTGCTGCATCGGTCTTATTTGAGCCCAACCAAAGCTCATTATGGGCATTGAAATCACCGAGAAGAACTACCTCTGAAGCGGGGTGATTGATGTTCAGGAAGTCGATCTGGACGGCGAGGTATTCGAGTAGGTCATCCCAGTTATGGTTCGAGGGAGAGCGATAAAGGCAGCAAATAAATTTGGGTGATGTTTTGGAGTTGAGGCGAAGCCACAGAATGTCCTTCCGGTCTGATTCCAAAGAAAGATCCCTGGAGCAGGAAAGACTGCTGCGGACAAAAGCCACAACTCCCCCGTTCTTTCTCAGATTGGAGTGCACCTCGTAGTTTGGGAAGTTGAGATGGTTAATCGGTGCAGCCTCTGAGATTTTTGTCTCCGCCAAGAAAAGCACGGCGGGACGATTGGATTGCAGGTAGTGATGAACAGCATCATTGAAAGTGATGCATATCTGTTTTTCCTGTTTTGAATTTGTCTCAGCTGATCAGCAATAATCTCTAGATTTTTTGTATATGGAAACATAACTGAGTCATTATTAATTATTGAAATCGCTGTGTCAAGTTGTTCCAATGCATTCGTGATGCAAACTTCAACAGAGTTTTTGTGTTGGTTCTCAGAAAAATAGAAAAAATACCTATTTAGCAGGTTTTCTAATTGGGACCATCTGGTAATTTTGAGATCATATGGCAAAACCCACTTCAAGTCACTAAAAGAAAGCTTACATCCTTTATGAACAACCTGAACTTCCATCTGACCATCAACTATAATCTGTGTATTCAAAGTTAAGATATCATTTTCAAAATCCAATTTATAAAAATATAGCTTTCCATCAGATAATTTATTATTCCATTTCTGTGAGGCTTTAATTTTTGAAAATGAAGAATGTAATTCTTGAAAGTCTTTGATCTTATCCATATCATCGAAATTCTGGATAGCTTTTTCATGTTTCTCAATTAATTTTTGTTTTCTTTGCATTGGGTCAGTTCTTTTGGGTGCTTCAGTTTTCGAAAGATATGATGGCAAGTTTGGGAAAATGGAGGGAACAGCATTTTCTTTCAATTTTGGATATTTCAAAGGTATATTATTTTGGACTGTTCCATCCGCCAAAACTATATTTCCTGTCCTGATGATATCCGATTCTCTAAAATGACGACTGCACACAGCTGAATATTTTGAAGGTGTCCAATTTTTTCTGGGAATTGCCATAAGTCATTTGTTTTTCAGACTTTCGGTACTTGGGAAGCGAAAAGTTGAAACATAGCTTTCTGTTTTCAAAGCAGAATTATAGTATGCATTGCATAAAGGAACACAGCAACAACGAGGCATATTGTCTGCGTCAAATACTTGATAAATGAAAAAAGAAAAATACAACCTGAATTTGCACGTTTTCAATAGTTGAAATCCTTAGCGTCCTGAGGCGCGAACAGCCACAGTCACACTTCTTGGTTTATTTTTAAAGCACAGAAGCACTAAAACTGGAGTCTATTTCTCATATATTATAGTCACCGATCACTTTGAACACATACACACACTTTGAAGCTTAGAAAACAAGCTTATCTCTTAATTACAGCCTCTGGAATTCCCAAATCACAAATTGAAAAGGTTATGTTTTCTCAGAGTTTTGAGCACGAGTTGCGTCGATGCAGCAAGCAGCGGCGGGAGTAACACTACCACCTACGTTGCCAGATTTCTTTGTTCACGGCTCGTAGTTGACGTCGGCTGTGATGGTATGTTCATGATGTTGCATTGACACATGTTTCCATGAAGTTTGAACGAAATATGCGATTTCGAACCTGAGATAATCGATAGGACATTTACATGAGCTCTTGTGAGAAACATATTTTTCCGTATTATTTCAATTTTCGTTAGAAACAAATAGAAATCTTGAAAAACCTGATCATATAAAACTTGAGGGGCACTAAGACGTTACATTGAAGGAGTTTGACCTTTAACTTCCCATGTATTCGCAAAAAATTTAGAAAATGAGATATTGTTTTTTGAATGTTATGACTGACTTTTATCTCAGAGGGTGTAGCTTGTGATGAACATAAACCTTTTTTTGTACTTTCGTATATTTTCTCTTACAGTTCCTCAGGCAACAGGCTGGCTATGAACTTGGATTATTTAGTACCTCTACGCAATGCTATTATAAACCCTTTGAAAAAATACGGCGTTGACGGAGTACAACAAGCGATTGATATCATGAAAGCCTACAGTCTTTTAAGGGAGGATCTCGATAACTTGATGGAACTGACACAGTGGAAAGGGACTGAGAATCCATTTAACAAAATCGATGCAAAGGTAAGGAAAAATCACCAGTCAGTGTGCATAGTGACAAACGTTCCAGTTAAAGAAGAAATGGAAAGCGACAACGTTGCCAGGTTGACAGTAACTATCGGCAGGATAGAGAAAAAATTTTATACATGCTCCTCGACGTAATTTTTTCGTCACTCTTGTGACAGGGCGCAATGGAGTGATGAAGGATCGAGATAATCCGAATCTTAAAATCTCATTCTTTATCGTGTAAATTCCGTTTCAGGTGAAGTCAGCATTTACAAGAGCCTACAACAAGCAAGCATCAGCTCTTCCGTTTGCGCCAGGCACCGCCGTTTCCAAGAAACGGGCCGCTGCGATTGATGCTGAGGGAATTTTGAACGAAGAGGACCTGGCGGCATTGGCAGATGAAGACGATAATGAGGATGAAGATGCCACTGCCGATGCTTTCATCAAGGTTAGGGCTTTTTTATTGCCATTTTAGTTATTATTTTTTAAAACACTATCCATTTTACATTTCCAGTACTGGGATCAACGTTGAGGGTTTCCATGTGAAAAAATCAATTTGACATTGAATTGACCTTGAAGGTCATACCCAAGGTCAGAATGACGGTCACCTTCAGATGTGCCGTTTGGGTGTCCTGCAATTTTTGCATTTAAAGTTCTTTAATATCCCTCTTTTTCCAGCTATCTGGTGCAACATTCTATGAACGAGCAACAGTTGACCTTGAAGTAACCTCTAGACGTAATTTTAGCCCCTATCGTATTAATATCGTTGAAAATGGAATTTTTTTACCAAAACACATTTTACACAATAATAACACCGCGAGCCTCATAGTCGTCGCCTTAATTTTTAATCTTTTGAACATGACATTTGTCTGCATTTTCAGCGCTGGGACCAAAATTGCGGGTTTCTATATGAAAAAATCAATTTGAAATTGAATTGACCTTGAAGGTTATATTCAAGGTCAGAATGACGGTCACCTTCAGATGTGCCGTTGGGTGTCCTGCAATTGTTGCATTTAAAGTTATTTTTTAATATTCTTCTTTTTCCAGCTATCCGCTGCTTCACAACATTCCATGAAAGAGCAACAGTTGTCCTTGAAATAACCTCTAGATGTAATTTTAGCCTCTACCGTACTAATATCGTTGTAAATGGAATTTTTTTACCAAAACACCATTCATTTTACACAATAATAACACCGCGAGCCTCGTAATCGTCGTTTTAATTAATCTTCGTTTTAATTTTTAATCTTTTGAACATGAAATTTGTCTCCATTTTTAGCGCTGGGATCAAAATAGAGGGTTTCCATGTGAAAAAATTAATTTGACCTTGAATTGACCTTGAAGGTCATATTCAAGGTCAGAATGACGGTCACCTTCAGATATGCCGTTGGGTGTCCTGCAAGTTTTGCATTTAAAGTTCTTCTTTGATATTCTTCTTTTTCCAGCTATCTGCTGCTTCACAACATCCCATGAACGAGCAACAGTTGACCTTGAAATAACCTCTAGATGTAATTTTAGCCCCTATCGTATCTATATCGTTCAAAAGGGATTTTTTTACCAAAACACTATTCATTTTATACAATAATTACACCGCGAGCCTCATAATCGTCGCTTTAATTTACAATCCCTTGAGTATGAAATTTTTCTCCATTTACAGCGCTGGTATGTAAATTGAGGGTTTCCATGTGAAAAAATAAATTTGACCTTGAATTGACCTTCCAGGTCATACCCAAGGTCAGAATGAAGGTCACCTTCAGATGTGCCTGGGTGTCCTGCAATTTTTGCATTTAAAGTTCTTCTGTAATATTCTTCTATATCCAGCTATCTGCTGCTTCACAACCGTCCATGAACGAGCGACCAGTTGTCCTTGAAATAACCTCTAGATGTAATTTTAGCCTCCATCGTATTAATATCGTTGAAAATGTGTTTTTTTTACACCATTCATTTTACACAATAATAACACCGCGAGCCTCGTAACCGTCGCTTTAATTTTGAAACCTTTGAACATGATTTTTTTTTTCCATTTTCAGCGCTGGAATAGAAATTGAGGGTCTTCATGTGAAAAAATCAATTTGACATTGAATTGACCCTCAAGGTCAGAATGAAGGTCACCATCAGGTGTGCCGTTAGGTGTCCTGCAATTTTTGCATTTAAAGTTCTTCTTTAATATTCTTCTTTTTCCAGCTATCTGCTGCTTCACAACATTCAATGAACGAGTTGACCTTGAAATAACCTCTGGATGTAATTTTAGCACCTATCGTATTAATATCGTTGGAAAGGGATTTTTTTTACCAAAACACTATTCATTTTATACAGTAATAACACCGCGAGCCTCATAATCGTCGCTTTAATTTTTAATCCTTTTCCGACAGTTGTCCTTGAAATAACCTGTAGATGTAATTTTAACCTCTATCGTATTAATATCGTTGAAAAGGATTTTTTTTTACTTTCTATTTCTGCAATAAAAGATGGGGGTTCCCATTTGTAAAATTCATCTTACCCTTGAAATGACCTTCAAGGTGAACCTCAACGTCAAATCCAAGGTCACTACTAGATGCGTCATTCGATTTCCTAAAACTTTTGTGTTCAAGGTTTTTTCAAGCACCATAGGTTTTTGAGATATTTGGGTGTATCCATACTTTTGGGATACACCGTATAGATTGGGCGCTCGCGGGGGCGTGGCCCCACTAAGAATCCAGTTGGCCCTTATTATTTGCAAATTTAGCATGGATTTGTGTACATTTTTCTTAGCAAAAGTCGTACGGATGTCCTATGTTTTATAGTGCTTAAAATCCTATAAAAATTATAAAAATAGTAACATTTTTGTGATCATCATTATAAATTCTGATTAATTCATTTTTATTCTTATCGATTTTTATTGATGTTTTTCTACGTTTCAGGTAAAGGCAAAGGATACTAAATCCAAGACGCAGACAAACAAAGCTGGCACAAGCAAAGGAAAAGAACCTACTACAAGCAAAAAAAAGGGAAGATCTGCAAAAAAATAATTGTCAGTTATATTTTTGTATTGTTTTTTCAATTGTATGCTTTTTTGTTTACCGTTTATGTTTAGTTTTAGCGCTTTTCGTAATATACATACATCACACTATAATTTTTCGAAGTTTTATTTTACCTACGCTTATCAATGGGATATACAGGGTGTAAACGTTATGAAAGTCATTATTTAAATCGGTGATAGAGGGGTTAAATGAAGCAAAATTTTTCATATAACATGAGGGTCAAAACGGCATTTTTTTTTTTAGAGAAAAGCGACTTTAAAGTAAAATAAAATCTGACAACGCCGCAATGCCAGACGCAGATGGAGTTTGTAATTTTTGGCTCTTAGATATTATTTCATTATTTGATAATGTACTCGTAAAATGCAAACAATTAAAAAAAACTGACTTACCACTAACTGTCTCAGCGCTTCACCTGGTGTGTCGAAGTTTATTAAAAAAATTCACCTATAAATAGGGAATACAATTTTGATACATACATTGTTTTTCTTTTTAAAACCCACACTGTACTTTTTTTGTATTTAAAGGTGTTCAAAATGTCGTCCTCCTCTTTCCACACAAGCTTCATTACGACGAACCCAGTTTCTTCTTACTCTAGGTCCTCGAAGTTGTCCATTTATTATTTCAGCCGCATTAATTTTTTTTCGCAAAGGTGTGCTTCAGTTGCTATTGGACCAGCCCATAAACCAACCCTTTAAGTTCTCCCCAATACCAGAAATCCATCGGATTGAGGTCAGGAGATTGTAAATAAACTCGAAGACGTACGCGAACGAAAACAAAACAGGCCCGATGCCCGATAACTAACCACTGTTACCGTTTGCGATCGATTGCCGGATCGATAAGAGTGATAAAAGGCCGACGCGCTGTTGTCATGTGTGTTTTAAATATTTAATTTAATGAAACTTACTTACTGACTACAAATTTTGGCTTAACTTAGACAAACTTAATGCCGTTTAATTCCAAGTGTTTTATAACGAGGAAAATACAATATTTTACCTACAAAAAGTATGTTTTTTCTATAAATGAGTAATGACTAGTGGCGTATCTTAATCCTGAGGAGAGACATATTTAAATTTATCGAGGGGCCTAACTAATTGTGACGAATCCCAAATGGAGTGTAAAATTCGAAATAAAGATTTTTCCCAACAGTAATTAAAACGCTTGAATGGAATAATATGAATAAATAGTCATATAATGAGTAAGTATTGATATTTACAAATAACACTTCAAAATAGTCAAATAAAAATATACGCTTTTCTTGTCGGATACTGATGTTTGATGTTTACAAGACGATTCATATCCTTTACTTCTGTCGGTTTGTCCGTCGGTTAGTCTGTGTGTAAGCTTTATTTTATTCCAGTAATCATAGTAGGTAATGGTGCTTCATTCATTCAAAGTTTGTTTTCTATGCTTAACAATCTTAACATTTTTGGGGAGGTTACGAAAAATTTCGATATGTTGCTTTCGTCGTATAATTATTTCAAGTTAGAACGTAGTTAAAAACATATTACGGAGATCAAAAATTTTAATTCTCTAGGAAGACGTATTTTTGACATGATATAAATGATTGTGACAACGATTTTCAATGTACCGAGTCAATCTACTTGACACGTGTTTTTTTATCATATAATCCATAGCTGAAGACGATTTTCGAATATCGAGATTTTTCTAGCTCTGAAGACAGTATCATGTCTGATAGCCATAGTTGTCCTATTAAGTCGTAATATAAAAAATAATTAAGTTATTAGCACTTCTTAAAAAACCAAAAAATACTTTTGGTGTTACGCCACTGGAATACACCCTTATATTAAGAGTAGTAACTTGGATTTGTTCATTAAACTGTTTAATTGCATAGTAAAATTTATAAATTCGGTTTGAATTACGTAATTTCAAACTAGCAAATTTTTACTGCACGCCACTGGAGGCACTAACGTTCAATGACTACTTCAATCTTTTCTCGGGCCCAAGGGTTTCGGCTTTATGCACAGTATGAGAAAAAATACCCATTCTCAAGAGAAACCCCCAAAAAGTCTATTTTTAGGTATACATGTAACGCTTTTTCAAAAATTGATAATTTGAGTTACGAGGGTGGTCCCTGAAGTACCCGACCCAACGAAGAAAAACAAAAACACAAATCTGGTGAATAGGGTGCATGAGGTAGGAAAGGAAACTTTAATTCGTTAATTTTGGCCATTGCAATAACGGATTTGTGAGCTGGTGCATTGTCTGGATGAAACATCACTTTCTTCTTAACCAAATGCGCCCGTTTTTGCTTGATTTAATCGCTCCAAAGTTGCAATAAGTTCGCATAATACTCGCCGTTGATAGTTTTACCTTTTTCAAGATAGTCAATCAAAATTATCCCACACGCATCCAAAAAAACCGACGCCATAACCTTGCCTGCAGATGAAACGGTCTTCGCCTTCTTTTGAGCCGGTTGTCTCTTTTCAGTCCATTGTTTTGATTGTTCTTTTGCCTTGGATGTGGAGTGCTGGACCCATGATTCATCCATGGTTATGAAACGACGCAACAATTCTGCGTTGTTGCTGTGAAACTTCGCTAAACACTCAATTGAAACATCTTCACGACACTGTTTTTGCTCGGATGTCAACAATCGCGGCACCCATCTTGCACACAGCTTTCTCATGTCCAAATTTTCAGATAATATGCCATGAAACGCACTTTTTGAAATGCCACTATGTCTGCTAGCTCGCGTACTTTCAGTCGACGATCATTCAATACCGCTTTGTGAATTTTCTTCACCATTTCTGGAGTCGTCACCTCATTTGGTCGACCACTGCGATGCTCGTCTTGGCAGCCCATGCGGCCTCGTTTAAACTCTGCTACCCAATATTTTACTGTTGTAAACGAAGGAGCAGACTCACCCAGAGTAGAATCCAGTTCAGCTTTTATATTGGTTGGGCTGAGGACTTTGAAATAAAAGTATTGTACCACATAACGATGACCAATTTTCTCCATTTTCACAAATTCACTGAAAACGTTCAGTATTGATGGCTGCCAAACAAATACCGAACAACGTGGCGTCTTCAAACTTGACACATATGCTTTACAGGTTGCATACTTCCTAATAAAGTGATATTTTTCAAACAACTTTCGCCATCTCTAGGTCAGGCCGGGTACTTCTGGGACCACCCTCGTATAGCTAGCTTTAGAAAAAAATGAGAAATTCTTTTTTTTTTAGGATAGTCAAACATCAAAAAGATGCATAGAAAAATTTTCAAGATAAAATTGGGAATCTGACCTAGCAACAAACTTTGCTAAAAAACTTGACTTCGTTTGTTCATCCTGTATAAGTAGATAAATAAAAGAAATATACTGGTTGTTCCTGTACGTGTTCTCAAAGAGATGGACAAGAAGCTCCCAAATACCGCAACTCGGTATCTTTTTGCGTTCCGAGATTTGGGAAAAATGTTGCATGTTGCAAAGCAACTGTCCACCAGTTTATAATAACTTTTAATTTAGAAAAGGTCCTTTTAGCCATTGCAGTTGTAATATGGGGGTGTAAAAAATAATAATCACGGCATTACCACCTAAAGTGTATCTAACGAAGCTACAAAGTAATCGTAAACAGTGGTTGATTCGTGATCAACGCGTGATCGGTAGCCATGGCGCTCTGTCGGCCTCTTCCTGATTGGCTGGTAGTGACGAGCCTCCAGACAAAGTCGCACGGTTGCCACGCTCGGCGAGTTTTCGCCAGAGTGGTTGATCACATTCGCATGGATCACAAATCAATCTGTTGGTGCAATACGTGCAATAACTGTTGTAAAGGACATTATATAACAATAAATGGCATCACAAAGGTATATTCCAATTTGATCTGCAGCAAATTATGAACGGCATATACGGAGATGCGAAAACAAGCTCAAAAAGGTGAAGAAAATTTTTGTGCAATCTTTATAGTTAAATTTTTCCTAAGAGTTAGCATCAGTGAGGGAATTTTTTTCTATTGTCTTATTTTTCACATTAATGCGATGTCGAGGTATGTGGCCCTATCGCAATTGAAAATAAGGTTTCGATAATCCTTCCATAAAGTTTCGATGAGTACATCTGAAATAACCTTGAGATATTCTTCAGGGAAATACAAAAATCTCCTTTTGTGTTTTTTTGTGCAGATTTATCTATTAAAATCCTATCCGCAATCTATTTTCCGTGCACACACCTTCAACCGAATGTATGCCATATATGATATTACCGTTTCCAACTTTCACCAAGGTTAATAGGAACCATAACAGCTCCCTACCCTTCCCCCCTATAAGAATATCGATTTGTAGCCTCACATTTCAAGGTTAGACTTCTTGTAATGTTTCTGTTCAACATTCGGCGATTTCTGACAATTTTCCCAATAAAACATGATCATTGTGACATTAAGCCTGGCAACGCTGCATAGTAGAGGGAACTCTCAGCGTCACGTTGATGGTTCGTCACCACGCACAGGATTGTAATCAGTTACGGATACCCGTTTATGAGCGCGAACGTTTTATGCACGTCTTGACTTGATTTTTCTTGCGGAAATTTAATATTAGTCTAAAATGTCTGACACAGATACAGCTGATGAAGTGGTTGAAATCAGCTTAACGTCACCCAGAAAAAGGGCTAAAAAGCTTCATCTTAGCGCAGGTAAGTTCATTATAGACTGCAATCAAAGTGTAAGTTTCTAGTTATTAATGTGGAAATTCCAAATTTATAATTACACAAAATTAGGGTTAATTTAGGAGTTCCAAAGCATAATAGTGCCATTTTGACCTTCTTCCTATTTCTCATGTAAATTTTAATAGCAATGAAACTAACAAACTTTATGGAGTCTGTAATAAACTTTTGTATTACTACTACTACGTCTGTAGTTTCTATTTGCTCAAAAAAATTTGCTCTGCATTGTGAATAGAAGGTTGATTTGTAAATATTATTGGGTATATATGTAAGTTAATAATAAAATATGAACAATTTCAATTGAGATGGTCCACAAGTTTTTTTCGTGTGCGTTTTAGTAACATTTTGCTGAAATGGTGAATACAGAATTTTTTGCACTGATTCCTAATGTCGAAATATGATTAGAAAGGCGTGGTATATTCCTAAT